TTTGAAAAATAATCAGATTTCTTAAACTTGAAAGTATTTGGATGCTTATGATATGCAACCACACTTCAAGCTCATAGCCTTAAATTTGATCATAAAGCTCGAAAATCTATTTTCTTAAGTTTCAGCCTTGGCACCAAAGGGTTTCTTCTATTTGATTTATATAACAAAGAGTTATTTCTCTCAAGAAATGTTCACTTTTATGAAAATAAATTTCTTTTTATTTTTCACAAATACCGCAAATGACTCTTCAACACCACTTGTTCAAGTCATGCCTTATACAGAATATGATGTTCCTTTGTGTTATCAATGCACAACACCTGATTTTGTATTTATCAAATCTGTTCCTAAGCATTCTCTTTTTCATCCAACTACACATGTTTCAAAACACGATTTTGTTCCTACTCTTGCATCCTCACAAACTTCTGATTTAGCATTTCATCATAAACCCACATTTGAGTCTCACATTGATAAAAAAATTATTACCACATAACTCACAACAATCCCAAAATTCAATTGAGCCAACACCAATTTTAAGAAAATCATCCAAAAATAAAACAAGGCCTAAATATTTACAGGACTACCACTGTACTCTCATGAGCACTTCAATAGGTCCCTCCACTTCAAGTGTTCTTTACCCTATATCTAACTATATGTCCTATGACAAATTCAGTTCTGCTCACAAACATTTTTCCCTTTCCATCTCAACCACCTATGAGCCAAAAACTTATCATCAAGCTGCCTCTCAAGAATGTTTGATTAAAGCCATGAATTCTGAGTTACAAGCTCTTGTAGACACTAAAACATGGATTCTCACTCCACTACCTATTGGAAAGTCTCCAATAAGAAGCAAGTGGGTTTACCGAATTAAACACAAAGTTGATAGGTCAATCGAGAGATACAAAGCTCGTTTGATAGTAAAAGGATACACTCAATAAGAAGGTGTTTATTATATGGACACCTTTTCCCCTGTCGCGAAGATAACAACAGTTTGAACTTTATTGACCATAGCAGTTGCATCCAATTGGCATCTCCACCAATTGAATGTAAAAACAACCTTCTTACATGGTGATCTTCATGAAGAAGTGTATATGGAGATTCCCTATAGACTAAGCACCTCCAGACATGGTTTGTAAGCTCACTAAATCACTCTATGGACTCAAATAGGCCAATAAGCAGTGGTACTCCAAGATGTCCTCATCTCTCATCTCATTTGGATATACTCAGCAGACCATTCTCTCTTACTAAACAAAATGGTACACCTTTTAATATCATTTTAGTTTATGTGGATGTCATTCTTTTATTTGGTACTGATTTGCAAGAAATATCTAACATTAAAGTACTTCTTCGGTATGAAAATTGCCAAATCTTCAGAAGGAATTCACTTGTCCAAGCACAAATATGTATTGGAGTTACTTAGTGATTCTGGATTACTAGTTTGCAAACCTTTAGCCATTCCAATGAATCCTACTATAGACTGTCACAACAACAGGAAAATGAATTCAATGATCGTACTACATATCAAAGACTTGTTGACAGACTGTTTACCTCACAACTTCAAGAGTAGATATTGCATTTCATGTGCAAAAACTCAACCAGTTTGTGTCAAAACCTATGACTGTTCACTATGAAGCTGGTCTCAAAGTTCTAAGGTACGTAAAGAATGCTTTCGCTCAAGGTCTCCTTTTTCGACCCAAAAGCAATATGAAACTATTAGCATTTTTAAATTAGATTGGGCTGGATGCTCTGACTCCAGAAAATTCATTACTGGTTATTGCACATTCCGTGGAGAAGCTCTCATTTAATGGAAATGCAAGAAGCAAACCACTATAGCCAAATCCTGCTCAAAAGCTGAATATTGTGCTTTGGCAGCCACAACATGTGAGGTTCAGTGGTTGTATTATCTGCTTGCTGATCTTTCTGTTCCACCTTCTTCACCCACCCCGATCTACTGTGATAATCAATCAGCCCTTTACATAATTGCGAATCCTGTTTTTCACAAACACACAAAAGATATCGAGATCGATTGCCACGTGGTTCGAGAAAAAAATGCAACATGAAATCACTTACTTATAGCTAGTCTGAAGTTCAAATCAAACAACAGACATTTTCACCAAATAGGTCATTCTAACAGGCTTTATAGGCTTTTTTTTTTAAGCTCAAGCATAACCTATTTAATTAATTAAACTTTTTAAAAAGTTTAAATTAAGTCTATTATTTAAATAGGCTAAGACAAGTTAAGCTTTAAAAAGGCTAGATCATAGGCTTCTGTTGGACAACCTTACCTATTTTTATCCCTACTTGTAGGCAAAATTTCAACTAACTTTGTTTGTTCCAATGGTCAGCTTGGTGACACGCTCACCAAATCCCTCAAAAGGTCGAGGATTGAATACATTTGTAACAAGTTTGTTGCATATGATTTGTATGCTCCAACTTAAGGAGGAGTGCTAGAAATGTCATATTTATATTTAGTAAATTAGCATTAATTAAGGTATATCATAGATTGATTAGCTCTATCATTAAGATTGATTAACTATTAATGTATTTCCTAGTTATAATTATTCTATATACTATAAATATAAGAGGTGTGATATGCTCTAGACACAACCATGCATTATTCTCCAGTAGGACACTTTCAACTTAAGTGTGAGGTTGAGGTAAGTGAGAGAAAGAGAAAAGGAGAAAATGATTTTTTGTTCTAGGACTCTTTGGTAAAGTTTGATATTTCAATAATAAATATTAAAAATAATTAAATAACATGATAATGAGTTGAAACTCTATTATCTAACTCATCACTTAATAAAAGACATGGAATAGTTAATAGTAAAAATTAATTTCAAATATTTTAAAAATTTCATTGACTAAATCTGAACAACTTTTTTTTTTAAAAGACTAATTCTATAAAAATACTACTTTTATAGGAACCAAAAACATAATTAAGATAAAAAAAAATATTACTTATTTTTTATTATCTTATATAAACTTTTAAAATTTTATGTAAATATTTATATTTATAAAGAACTTATTATTTCATATAAACTTTCAAAACTTTGTATAAATATTTATATTTATATTTATAAAATTTATAATACAATCTATTAAATAATTTTTAGTTAAAATTTTTAATAATTAAATATATTTAGTTTCATATAAAAAATATTTTTTTTAAAATTATAAAGTATATCACTTTCATTTATATTAATTTAATAATTCGTACCATGCACATTTGTTTTATTTTATTTTATTTTATTTTATTTTATATATATATATATATAATATTATGATAGCTAAAGAAGAATAAAAGATACATTAATGTTAAAAATAAATTAATTATTATTAACTAAGAAATCATAAAATATAACATTTGAAAACAATAAAAATAAAAAAAATGAAAATAATGAATTTTGAATAAATTTTACAAATAATAAATTAAGTATTATAAATTTTATAAATATATATACATATATAATTATTTATAAGAAATTTAAAGTTATATATAAGATAATAAAGATATTTTATAATTAGAAAAATAGATAATTATAGAAAAATTATATAAGGTAATAAGGTTTTTAATAAATATAAAAATAAATATTTATAAATAATTTAAAAATTTATATAAAATAATAATAAAAATTTAAAACTAACTTTGATTTCAAAATCTTAAAATAAATTTAATAAAGAAGCAAGTAAAAAGTAAATTTAGTATAATAAGAGAAAATACAATACACTCATTATTTTTAACTAATTTTAATGATAATATTTTAATTTTTAAATAGTAAACTTGTATTTATAATATAAAAGTTGATTTATTTTCACAATTTACATTGCTCTAAAATATTTATATCTTGGATTTTTCTTTAATTAATTATAATAAAATTATTTTTATTGTTAATATGTCTTTTATCATTCTCTATTTATTATATATATATATATATATATATATATATAATGTGTTTTTTTATATTTACATTTTTAACGTGATATTTTATATATAAATTACACTTTCATCTAAAATATACACCACAATAAATTTGTTTATTGTTTGTTAATATCTTATATTTGGTTGAATTTATAATAATGTAAAATATTCAATTTCTACGTCTTACATTATTAAATTATTTGGTTATTAAATTAAAATATATTTTTTAAAAATTATTATTAAATTTTTTATTATATAATATAAATAATTATTAAATTATATATATTTATATATATTTTTTATTTTCATATGCTTTCATTTTGTACTATTTAATTTTTGTTTTTAGGTGGGCATTATGAATGGGTAAGAATCGCCAAGAAATCACCAAATACTCCGTGTAAAACACACCCGACAAGAGGTGTTGGTCGGAAGAATGAGCACAACCAAATATTCGTACCATACAGTGAATTATTGGCAGAAAAAAAGAATTACTGAGTCTAATTTGAGTTAATTCAGTTAAGATTTGAGTCTTCACAGCTTTGGGAAAAATGTTTTTTTATTCAGGTCATAAGGTTAAATATTAATTTTATATTTTAAAAATATTAATATTTTATTTCTTAAATTTTGTTTTGTTAAAGTTATAATATTTTTAATTGAAAAAGGAAACAGAAATAACGTCAGTGATTTGATTAAAAACATACAAAGAAGATGCACTCAAAACCAAATCCTACGTTGGTGGGGAAGACGAGTTTGTGCAAAGGGGTCCACTGCATGCGAGCCGTAGAACACGTCAACACCTTCTTCTGCCACTCTGCACCGCGTGGCATATTCAAATGCTTTAGAAACAACACCTTGATCTCGATGTCATCACCATCCTCCACGTGCAGCCAAGTTCAGGTGCCCCACTAACCACTGTATTTTTAGCCTCGCACTTCGTTCATCGTCAAGATCTCTAACAAGCATATATATATATATATATATATATATATATATATATATATATATATCTAATACATTGTGCTTTCCTTCCAAAACCCACAACATTTCCATCAACTCAAAAGATCCCAAAAGCTTGTTTGTAAGAATGGCTTCGGCTGAACAGAAATTTCCTCCACAACAACAAAAGATACAGCCTGGGAAGGAGCATGCTATGGACCCAACACCCCAATTCACCAGTCCTGACTACAAGCCTTCCAATAAACTTCAAGTATATACATTCATTTATACACCCCCGTTTATTTTCCTATACCCATAGTTATTTTTTTTCATATTTACATAGGAATTTAAATACATTCTTAAGTTTTTATAATTTAAGTAAATTTAAGTTGGGTCTTTAATGGTGCTTGTATACTTTCATAAATTTAAGTTTTCGACTTGATACAGTTTTTGGTTCTTTTAATATTATTCTATTAGGTTTTAATTTTGTTTAGAATACTAGATATTGGTCTCAAATGAAGTAAGTAATATATGGAGATTAAAAATATATTTTAACTTATGGTGGTGCATGTGTGGGTGAATTTATTTTCAGGGAAAGATAGCATTAATCAGCGGGGGTGACTCTGGGATTGGACGTGCAGTGTGCAACTTATTTGCCTTAGAAGGTGCTACAGTGGCATTCACATATGTGAAGGGGCATGAGGACAAGGACGCAAGAGACACACTCGAAATGATCAAGAAGGTCAAGACTACGGATGCTAAGGATCCAATGGCCATTCCAGCTGATTTGGGTTTTGATGAGAATTGCAAGAGAGTGGTGGATGAGGTCGTCAACGCTTATGGCCACATCGACGTTCTCATCAACAATGCAGCCGAACAATACGAGTGTGCAACCGTGGAAGAGATTGATGAGCCAAGGCTTGAGAGGGTGTTTCGAACAAACATCTTCTCATATTTCTTCCTAACTAGGTGAGTGCAACAACAACGGATTTAGTCTTTGGTTATAGACTTAAACAATTAATGGGTTATATATGCATGCTTGAAAGTGATATATTATATATATAGGCATGCCCTAAAGTACTTGAAGGAAGGAAGCAGCATAATCAACACGACATCGGTGAATGCTTATAAAGGAAACGCTAAACTATTGGACTACACGTCGACGAAGGGAGCAATTGTGGCCTTTACAAGGGGTCTTGCGCTTCAGCTAGTGAGCAAGGGAATAAGGGTGAATGGGGTGGCACCTGGACCCATATGGACCCCATTAATACCCTCTTCTTTCAAGGAGGAAGAAACTGCACAATTTGGTGGCGAGGTTCCAATGAAGAGAGCTGGCCAACCTATTGAGGTTGCTCCCTCTTTTGTCTTTCTTGCCTGCAACCAATGCTCCTCTTATATTACCGGACAAGTTCTTCACCCCAATGGTAATATATATACTCCTCTTGTCTTCTTTTTTAGATGTTTTTAACTCACTAATTAACATGGGCATGTCTTTTCAGGTGGGACCGTTGTGAATGGTTGAAGCGTTATTTAGTGACATTCAGGATCGATACGAGGGAGTATATGGGACACGAGCAGTAGGGTGTTACGTTGTGTAAATGTGTTACGGTGTCCACTTTTGAATGTGTGTTTTTTAGTAATATATGTAAAAGAATATGATAAAGACGATCGAGAATGTATCAACTTCTATAAACAAGTGTACTCTACTGCTTTATGGTACGAATATTTTTGCACGAACTGCGTCGTTATTCGGAATTCGGTTCTAAATCTAATTGGAACTTAGTGATATTATAAAGGATTAATCATGGATGCATCTGAGAGGAGGAATAGGAATACAATTTACAACGTTGTTGGTGTTCATTTAATATCGAGATCTGTTCCTTATTCATATTATGAACGACTCGGTTATACTAAGGAGTATTTTCCAATTAGGACAATGGTGTGAATTATACTATTTTATCTGAAATTGGTTTTAAATTTTGTGTTCATATTTATAAAATATTTTCTGTTAAAAACTATAGTATATCATTTTCATTTATTTATTTATTTTAAATCACGCTGTTAATTTGACTTATAAAATATATATTTGACAATTATATCTATGCAAATTATATATATATATATATATATATATATCATAATTTTTCGTTTTTATTGATTTTATAAAGTTTTTTTAGTTTTTACTTGATTTATTAGTGCTTAATTTAGAATTTTTATTTTCAATAAAACTTGTTAAGCATGCAATAAGGACAATAAGGAACAAGAGGCATTATTAACTATATTATCTAAAACTAACTGTAAAGCTTTCCAAGAATTACATTTTATAGTAATATTTACATGGCTTTTAGTCTTAATTAATTGTAAACTAAAAGAGGTAATAAGGTCCTAATTAGACCCCTATAGGGAGGAATTTGTTCTATTCAACGCTGAATTATGAACATTAACCTTCACCGCATGCTGAGAAGAAAGGAATCCATTTCTTTCAGCTTCTTGGTTAGAAAGATCTCAAACTTTCTGAAACGAGACGTATGAAAGAATTTGAGAAACAAGGATAGAAAGAAAACAAAAGAGTTCTTATCGGTCTAAATTTTTCAAACAGTTATGCTAAATAAAACATTTCAATTTAATTGATTATTAACTGTTTTATGGGTCAGGTTAAAATTACTGGAATTACTCCAGTTACTAGGACCAGAACTGAAAAAATTATATCAACTAGCATAAGTAAAGTGTCGAGTTTGAGTCCTGTCTTGTGTATGAAAAAAAAAAATTAATACTTAACTTTAAGACTATAAATCATTAAGGCTATAAAAGGTTATAAATCATTTGAAGAGCTAATTCATTATATAAGCAAAATTAAGGTTATAAAAGGCTATAAATCATTTGAAGAGGAAATTCATTATATAAGCAAAATTAAGGTTGTGAATGTTTCTAAATTTTACAAATTTTTATTAATTTTTTACACACAGAAATAGGAATAAAAATCATTAAGGCTAAAAATCATTTGGAGAAGTAATTCATTATATAAGTAAAATTAAGGTTGTGAATGTTTCTAAATTTTATTAAGTTTTTTTACCCAGAAATAGGAGTAAGATGTAATCAGGAATATTCATGTTGAGCAAGAGTAAACTCTTTTTCAAAGCGTTAGTTTCTTTTTAATTTTAATCAGATCACATAGGCATTGTAGTACTAAAAAATATTGAAATAAGAATTAAAGTTATTATTAACTCTTTATATTTAAAACATCACTTTGATTGGCTATACTAGAATCAATATTATTAAAAAATAAAATGTTAGACTTATTTCTATTAAATTGTTGATTAAAAGGTAATACAATATTTATTTAACTCACAACAATGACTTGATTAAGAGATGCTTTAAAATTAAAATAATATCATCACAAAGAAAAAGAGAAATTTTAGTACTGTTTCAACCAAAAAAAAAGAAAAGAAATACTTTCATCAAAATCAATTTTGTCCCTAATGCAACGAGTTAGCCTTTCAATAGTATAAAACAAAAAGATAAGGAGATATAGAATTCTCTTTACTAATCCCTCTAAGAGAGAAAAATTAAAAATATGTTTTATTCCAATTTACACACATTGAAGATGAAAAAAAAATACATTAATAAACAAGGTCAATAAAATTAATACTAAACCTAACAAGAAATAAAGTATATTTAATAAAATCTTAATTCAACATATCATAAGTTTTTGCTATATTAAATTTCATTATCATAAAATTGACTTGTCTCGTAAGACTCTTAAAAAAGTAGACAATCTTTGCAAAGTAATCACATCATCTATCTCTTGCGTGCCAAGAATGAAACTTTTTTGATTATCATAAATTAAATAAGAAAGAGAACTCTTTAATTTTTTTTTTTTGTCAAAATTTAGTTATGATTTTATAACTAACAATACAAAAGAAATGAGTTTAAATTGGTTAAGAATTTCAAGACGATCAACTTTAGAAATTAAGTAATAATAATTTGATTTACAACTTTAATTTCTTGAGGTTTATTGAAAATGTACTTCACAAATTTAAAAAGGAAAAGATAAAAGAAATTTCATTTTTTTTAAAAGCATGCAAACTATCTAAATTAGGATATTTATAATTACAAATACTAACCAATTTACATTTCACTTCTTCAGCTATCAAGTATTTCTTTATCAATATCCCTTAAATGGGAGAAAAGAAACTAAGCTAAATAATTTAACTAAAACAAAAGTAGGTTTTGTATAAAAGATTTTTAAAAAGGTTAACTACTATTTGTTTAATAAAATCATAATTATTTTCCTAATTTCTATTACTAGTTTTAAAGACTTGAATTTTATTAACATATTTCCAACCATCAATAACTTTACGAAAGAAGCTAAAATTTCTATCCCTAATCTAATCCAATTACTTTTATATTGCTTAAATAATATAATTCTTCGTGGTCTAAGAGTTGTTCATATTCTAACAAAGAGTATTCATTAACTTAGAAAGATATAAATTGTCTCTAAAATAAACTTTAAACATATTCTATTAATTCTATTAAAAATGCAACGCTTACAGTTGAAAATATTACCAAAGATAGATTAATTCCAAGAAAAGAAATTCATTCTATTAAATTTTTTAGGCTAAGAACAATTAATCTTTCAAGAATTTTTAACTTGATTAGAAAAGTAACTATGAGACAATCATAAAACTGAAAACTTAAAATTGGAGCAAGCATTACTAGGTTGATTTTGAGTTTTAACTTTTAACCAAAGAGTTGCATGTTCTGACTTAGAAATAACTATATTAATATAAGAATTGGAGGGAAAGTTATCCCTCCATAAAATATTAGTAACAACATATCTAATCTTTTAGATTTTCCTTTTGCCAAGTATACAGAACTCCATTAAATTCAAAATGAAAGAGGCTACGTGTATCAAAATAAAAATAAAGTCATTAGCCACACACCAATGAATATTCAAATTTAGACTATTATCAATCAATTCATCCCAAAGTAAATTTTAAAGGTAAGCTTAAGGACTAACATAAATGGTTGGAAGTAGCCACCAATTATTATTCAAACCAACATTTAGATGCATAACATACCTAGAAGTAGAATGAATTGAGATATTTAACTTCTTAATATTCCAGAGACACTAAATACCCTCAGAAAAATCAATAGCACTAACTTTGACAACTTCATTTAAGTTAATTTTCTTCAAGATCAAATTAGCTTTTTCATTACTAGCTTTTGGTTCTAAAATAATAATAAAATCTAACTCAACTTTATTAAGTCATTGATTAAGACAAAAAAAAAGTTTTTCTCTAATTCTCTTACAATTCTAAAATATAGAATTCATTAAGAAATATTTAGATTTTCATATTGCACAACAATTGTGCATTGAATATCCTAAGAATTACTCTGTATAGAAATATTATTATTGCTATCACCATTGATTAAATTATCCAAATTAAGATATAAATCAGGTGATTTATCAAGAGGAGGGTGTACGCCGTGAAAAATTGGATAATAAGTACCTCTTACTCCTAATATATCATACATACAGCTCCTATATTTGAATTTATTATATAATTTATTTTAAAATTTAGACACAAGCTTCATAACTTTTATATCACTTCTCATCATTCCTCCCCTCCTCCCCTAAATCGAATTCTGGCATAAGAGAATTATTATTCAAATTATCTTTAATTACAAAACTTTCTACCTTATGTTGAGATAAGTTCCTTTTAAGATGAGATTTAGACCTTCCTAAATTTTTAGGATTACTAATTCTCTTAGTTTCTAACTTGCATTTAGGACCTACCTTGTAACATCCTAAAATTAAAATTTGTACAATGTATATTTTATTCTTAATCATTTAAATTAAAACATCAGTTTTTGAATATAATGAACTTATTATAGTAAATTAGTGAAATTTTCCTTTATGTTTTTTGTATGTAGATGAAAATTTCAAATTTCGCAATGCTAATATAATAACAATAATAAATTTTGTAAAGAGTAAATAAATATCACAACTAAAACTTAATATTCTTCATGAAAAACCTGAATATACATTACATATATTAACATAAAAATTTTCATTATCTGTCAAAATATATAGGACTTAAAACAATATTTACATCACCAAAATATTATATCACATAAACAAATATAGGTCCTAGAGCAGTCTCAAACATAATCCAATACTAAAGACCAGTCCTAATCATTGACCTCCTGTTAACTCTCTATCTCTGCTAAATCCTCCGAATCCAAATCATCATCTGATCCCACGTAACGATCGCCTGAATTAGCCGTAACCTTTGTGCTCGTACGCGCTCGAAGATCCATCTGAACAGTCTTCCGAGATAGTCATGGTCATGATAAGTAAGGGCTGCTAGAGTCCTAACCGTACCTCTATACATATATATATACATAGGGTCTGATGTATTCTACTCCTAGGAAAATTAAACGGGATACTGTAAAAGAAATTCATCTCTAACATAACAAAAGTCCTAGGTTCATCTTCCACAAGGACAGTAAGTTTAAAATAACATAGTCTTTGATATTCATTAAATATATAATTTAACCTATTATGTACTAATCTATCTATTAATCTAACTCTTCCCTGAGCGAGAAGGTCAACTATGAAAGTTTTCCTGAATACCAAAAGATATCCATAAGAAACAAAAATAGGAAAAACGATTGGAGAAAATCAAGTTTAATCCAAAGAAACTTACTCGAAGTCGTTTAGGTTCAACATTCAAGCTCAGCTTTGAAGACAAATTGGAGTTTCTGAGGCTTTTATCTAGGTAAAATGAAGAGAGAGTTTAGAGAAAGTTGAGAGGAGTACGTGAGTTTAGAATGAAATGAAATTTCCATGCTGAAAATCTCTGAAATGCCCCTCAACCTCGCGCACTCTCGCTTGAGTGAGGAATAACTCGCTTTAGCGATGGACATCTCGCTTGAGCTATGGGTCTCTCGCCTGAGCAAGATATGCAGATAGTGGTCTCGCCCACTATTTTCTGATAAGCTCGCTTGAGCGAGCTTCATCTCGCCTGCTCCATCTCGCCTGAGCGAGATATTGTCTAGAGAATATGATCTTTTTCTTGTGGGTCCTCGTCTGAGCGACCTATCTGAGCGAGGTGACAATTGGGCTACATTTATCTTATCTCGCCTGGGCAAGAAGCATCTGGCTTGAGCGAGATAGCCCTGCAACTTTGTATTCCTGCACGTTCAATCTCGCCCAAGCGAGATTTACCTTGCTTGAGCGAGACACCCAAGCGAGATCTCCTGCATCAGAATCTTTCCAAAATCCTCTATATTCTTTTCTAAATACACTCTAAGACTACTTAATATTAAACAAAATATAAATTACCAAAAAATGAAAAGAGGGTGTTACATACCTTACTAGGGTAATTTTATAGTTATTTAGAAAAAAGAATGAAATTTTCGCACTAATATTAAGTATTCTCAACTTGAGGGTTTAGATCATATTTTTCTTCTAATATAAAATCATTCAAAGCCTCAAATTTTACTCTTAATCCTTTCTTAACTGTGAGTATGCTATTGATATTCAAACCTTGAGACTTGTTCTGCATGTACTATTTTCTTCCTATAGGGCTTTTTAACTATCATCCTATGTTTAAACAATTGTTGATCTTCCTCCTCATCAACAATTGAATGTTTTCATTCTTTTTTCATAAAATCAATCTTAATTCCTCCTTATTAATATCATTTTTATTGCTACTTATTAATTCTTATCCAATTGGATCCTCATATTCACCTTGATGTTTTCCTTCTAAATAACTATCAAGTTTATGACTACATTTACCACAAGAAAAGCAAATTAAATGTGGTCCCTCTTATTCAATATTAAATTTCTATCCTAGAACATTAAATGTAGAAAGGAGTTTCTTTTTAAGATTAATCTCAACAAAAATTCTTACAAGTTTACTCTTAGACTATATAACAGCGTGAGAATCATTTTTAACATTGTACTTAATATAGAATCTATATGTCGTAAAAAAATTTTGTTATATATTTCAATAGTAAACAAATATTAGATTCTAACCCACAAAACTATATTCCAGAAGATTGGTCTTTAGTCTTAAAGAAAGACCTCCATCTTTGTACAAACAAGTAGTGATCTAAGACTAATCAATGACCCTCAAATAAAGCTACTCTATAGTCTACCATATAAGAGAAGTAGACTGAAAAATATCATTGTTTAAATCTAACACATTTATCTCCTTATTTTCCTCTACCCCACCCTTAAATATACTTTATTTTTATCCTAAATATTTTAACTCAAACTTTTCCCTTGAAGTTTAACATACATCTTCAAAGAGCACACCATGATTTGTAATCATCTAAAGAAATTTCAAATTTAGAGCACAGTGAAATATTATCATCCAAAATAGAGTTAAATTCACATTATCTTCATTAGATATGTTAAAATCATCCATTACAAAAGAGATAATTTCATTGTGATTAAAATACAAATTCATGTTATTTGAGGCTAAAAGACTATCTTTATACGACCTAGACTTAACATCCTTATTACTATAAGGGGAAGAAAGTAACTGGTTTGAAGAAACTGTCTTCACATCTAGATCTTTCGGCATCTCCAATTGCTCCATAACATATTTATCATGCACATCCATCTTTGTACCCTATTTCTTTCTCTCTCTTTTCAAGAACTCTAGATTCACACTTACTTGAGAAGCTTCTTCCATAAGAACTTTGCTCTAGATAATATGATAACTTTTCATCTCTTTCTCACTACTATTCATCTTCTTCGCCTTCTTGAAGTTTCAATTTGTCAAATCGTCCTTTGCCAATGAGCTTTGAATTTTATGCTCTTTTTGTTTCAAAGAAATATGATTTTCTAGGAAAATCTTTCTTTCAAACTATCTACACACTAAACCAATTGAAATGTGAGAGAAAATCTCAACAACATAGCTCAAATAGACATTCGAGAAAACTCTAACATAGTGACGTTGAGTCGTGCGAGAGAGAAAATTCTAGCAACAAATATATTTTTTATTTAGAAATTATTTTAAAGATATAAATAAGGTTTAATATATTAATTATAAATATTTAATTAAACATTTTAAACATTATAAAATAAAAATTAATTATTTTAAAAATATATTGTCTTGTATAAGGATGGAATTAGAAGAGTAAAGTTTCTTAGTGATCCTGTTTAACATTTTCAACTAAAAACAGATGATGATGATGATGCTAACAGAAAACTGCAACTATATGCAACAGCATTATTATACGCCTATGATTCATTATGAACAATGCTAAATTTCTCCAGCAAGGCAGTAACCCCCTCGGTTGCAAGAATGAGGTGGATCTCAAAACTTGAATAAATGTTTTTGCCTGGATTTGAGTTACATATAAGTTAATTACATTCACATCCTTGAGGTGGATTAAAGTGATCATGCTCTCTGTGAAGCTGCTTCCTGTTCCTTCTTGATGCTTTCATAAAGACTCTCAACAAGGTGAAGCAAAAATTTATCTGCACCATGTCTGGCCACCAGAGAAATTGATAGGGGAAGGTTATTATACATCCCCAAAGGTATGCTTACCTACAGAGTGTCACCAAAAACCACACAGTTAGAACCTTCCCAAGTTTAATTATAGGATTTAAGTGTTTCACAAACATATACATAGGGAAAACCTGGCAAAATCCAGATACTCCAGCAATGGATAGCAGGCTAAACGCCCTTGCACGGAAATTTTCTAATTCAGGTGTATTTGTTTGCAATTTTGGTGGAGGTCCTGGAACTGTGGGAATCATGAGAACACCAAAATCCTGAAATTTTCACACAGAAAAGGAAGCGTTAATAAATATTAATTGATTGTTTAAAATTTTCCCAAGTGCACATTAGAAATCTGAATGAGATGGCCAATAAATTGTTCAAAATCTTAGTAACAACTTTAGTCCCACCCACCCAAAAGAAATTTGTGACAAGCTTCTCAATGTATAAATGCCATTTCACACCTAAGCAAGCATGATGGCAAAAGAGAAAAAGAAGACAACTTCCATTTGAGTAGCAACCTAAAAAGATTGTGCCTTTTTTCTATCGTAAACTGAAACGAATTCTCTTCATGGAATCACGAGAAAATAGTATGGATATATCTGTTTCAAGAAGGTATACTGGATGACAATACTACTTTCGTTTTAAATGGATAAAGGTAAGTAGTACAGATAATATTGATAGGGAGAATCTTTAATCTTCAATTATGGATTTGTGCATAAGATTGATCACAAGGGTATCAACTAATTACTTCAAAAGTAAGAATGATCAATGATAAGAGAGGTTCTTCTGTGAAGACTAAGGATATATATATATATATATATATATATAAAAGATGAACATAAAACTACCATAGTCCTATTTGAATAAATTTGTAGATTAAGTCATTATAAAAGAAGAAAATCAATATAAAAATGAAACTTCTCTTGTAAATTAAAAACAACTTATCTCTTCAACTTTTAGAGAAGTTAAACAGAGAGTTTATTAAAAAATAAGGAACATAAATTAATTTAAAAAAAAAAAGTTTGATTCATTTACTATTTATTTTTATTCCTGTAAGTATTTATTGAGAAATGAGAAATTTATTTAAACTGGGTTATAATATGTTCATTTGTTGAAATCTATTGTTTATTAGTAGGTCATGGGATTCCGAAGATCTTGCTATGGTTTGTGTGCATGCCTCGTGTGGGTGTGTGAGAGAGAGAAAGAATACCCCAAGAAGAGCAGTTAGAGCATCGTGTAGTTCCCTTTTTATAGCAAAACATATATCAATGTTTTCCCCAGTTGTCATTAGAGCTTTTGATACACGTTCCGAAATTCCAGGACCTAAATTAGGTTTGACTGCACTAATCCATTCACCATGGTTATTCTTGAATTCATACCTACATCATTAAATGACACAAGGAATCAAATTTCAATTGAGGGCAATCCAAAAGGAAATTACAGTCATCTTTCCTGAAAGCTAAGGATTGAATGGTGTGTCACACATTTGAAGCAATCGCATGGAACTTGAAAGTGCAGCCAGTGATGGAATGTTATATACTTGGTCTGTATTATCTTTACTCATGAAATGCTTCAAACTTGGAACATTGGCCATCACATAGTCGCCAAGGATTTCACTCTTTAATACATCATCTGCAAAAGACCATCTCAATTAGTAAAATCAAATTGTTCCAAAAACATATCAAATATCATTATTGGGATGAAACCGCATATAGATTTATGAATTAGAACCAAATTAAAAGGAAGGAAATGCAAGAGTTTCCCATAATTTAACATTTAATTTTTGAATTCTTTTGTTTTAGAATTAACAAACAATTACACTTAATTGACAATGGTAGATCTATCTGCCAATTGTTCACCTCCATATATCTTCTCAATTGCTTTGGTGACAATTTGTGTAACTACATTGTACGGAATGCTTGAAAGCTGGAAACAGTCTTCTGCAATGATAATGCTAGTAGGTCTAACTGGTACTATATCTGGCAACTGTAGAAGTACATGTCCAACTTTGCTCAAAATCATTGGATCCTTAGCAAACCATCCTAGATATGAAGATGAGAGAAAAAGAAAATAAGTCTCGAGACCCCGACATGTACACCATGCCACTAGGAGATGAAATATACAAAGAGAAAAGTCAGACCTAAAATCTGGAGGAAAAAATACATAGCAAACAACACCTTGTTAAAAATCATAAATACCTTTTAACCTGATAATAGAGAAAACAAGTACTTTCTCACTTAATTAGAAAATGCAATGCAAGCATATTAGAACCACCAAGAAAAATGCGCATTGCAATGCACTAAATCGAAGAAAGAATCTCGTATGCATTGTAAAGTTCAAGAGAAAATAAAACTTAACTCACTTGTAAGTTCTCCTAGAGATTTTCTAATCCCAATGTCATTATGATACTTTTATGTTTAAAATAATAAAATGATGAAATGTATTACTTAGTATAGCCATCAATGTTCATGTGTTTGTGCATATGTCATTCTCCATTACCCTTTGTAACGATGCATTCACCCAAAAATAAAGATTTAACATAGTTATCGAGCTGGTGGATTATTACCCACAGTGTCAAAACTTTGAGCCATAGGAATAACTCCGGATTCTGAAACAGCACCATGAGAAGGACGAAAACCAAAAATCCCACAGTATGATGCAGGCACTCTTACACTTCCTCCAGTATCAGTTCCTAATATTTTAAAAAGAAACTTCAAATTATTAATAAAGTGGTATCCAAATAACTTATTGGAATGGAAGAATATATCACCTATTGAGAAATCCACTAGCAATGCACCAACTGCCACGGCAGAACCACTAGAAGATCCTCCAGGAACCCGATCTGCTGCACAAGGATTTCTAGGTGTTCCATAATGTATATTCTCTCCGTTTATACTGCCAAAGTAGAGTACTAAGTTAAAATATGCACATTTCTGATGACAAAAAAAATAATACAAAAACTCAGAATATTAGAATCATATTTTCCATTAGGAAAAAACACCACTAAAGTGAGTTTGTCTCTAAAGTGAGTAAGGATTTATCTGCCCTTATTTTAATTAAAGTGTAAGATTGGTATACCCTTTCTTGCATCTTTAGAGACAAAATCTTTTGGGGGAGCCTTGTCCTTTCCATACAATCTATTGATTGAGTGATATAGTTAACAATACACTGCTTCCAACTCTAAAATATAGACTCACAAGTAACAATCTACAAAAGAATTTTCAAAGATCATAAATTATCACTATTTCACATGATGCTTAGGGACTATAAAACTCAATGATTCTTTAGATTGAGTAGAAGAAAAGCAAACCTGTAAGCCATTTCATCCATTACAGTCTTACCAACACAAGTGGCACCTGCTTGGAGGAGAGCCAAAACTGTGGAAGCAGTAGAGGTAACCACAGGATGAGTCCTTGCCCAGTCAGGATTCCCAAAGCCAGTTACATATCCTTCCACATCAAATCTGCTCTACACAAAACACTTCCTTCAAGTTCGAGATTATTCAAAGTCAAATCCACAGGTTAATTATATATGAATTGACTTTGGAGAATTTAGATGCTCTGAAAATAAGAAAAGTGAGAACATCATACATGTCTTTGACTGCAAAGGTAAGTGAATTCAAAGGAAGAGCAGGTGAAGAACTTTGTTGTAAAACAAATTTCTCCATGAATGCTCCGTAGTCTGAGGGTTTTTCCATGTGTTCGTCTTGCGTTTCAACCACTCACAGATGATGATGCTAACAGAAAACGGTAGCGTCTGTTTCTCAACTCGTTTTGGGGGTTTAATGATTAAAGAGTTTCTTGTGTCAAATGAGAAATTTCCCAGTGTTTTATTTTACGAGTATGATTCTTACTAGGATAAGGGTAACTTCAAACTGCGATTGGCCAATCCAAATATCAGTCACACCATATCCTCGTAATAATGTTTCTTTTGTGCTCTACTGAACAAATTCATTTTTTTTTAATTATTTTTCATATTATTCACACATTTATTTTTTACTACTTTTTCACTTTACTGTTTTTTAGTTTTTATTAATAATATTTTTTTGAAACTACTGAAAATTATTTATGTTATTTGAGTTTATTAGATTAGTATCATAGTTAAAAAGTCTTCTAATATTTGAAGAATCATTTAGTTTGTTATCAAATCTTTCATTTTTCAGTTATGTAATTAGTTTGAGTTTCTTTGATTTATTATAGATGCATTATTGCTATTGAATAAAAATTGAATTCTTTCTCTATTTATTATTTTCACATTTATGTATATTTTCTTTTTTTATTTTATTTTACTTGTTTACCATAAAATAAAAAATTGGTATCAAGAGCTCTTTTCTTATGAATATGTGAAAATGGATGTTGAATTAAATTTCTTATAAGTTGCTCTTTTTATCTTTGATGGAGAAAATTATGATCTTTGGACTATCAAAATGAAGACTTACTTAGAGGCTTTAAATATTTAGAAAGTTGTTGAAGAAAATTACGAAGTTCTTCTGTTGTCGCACGATCCTACCATAGCCCAAATAAAAACTCACAAGGAGAGAAAAACACAAAAAACAAAGACAAAATCATGTCTTTTTGCTGGTGTTTCAGCAACTATCTTCACTGAAATCATGACTTTAAAAATAGCAAAAGCAATTTGAGATTATTTTACGAAAGAATATGTCAGAATGAAAGAATTCGACGCATGCAAGTGTTAAATTTGATGAAAGAATTTGAACTCTAAAAAATGAAAGAGTCTGAGAGACAATTAAAATATATTCAGACAGACTATTTGGCATAGCCAACAAGGTAAGATTACTAGATACTGATTTTCTTGATTCTAGAATTGTTGAAAAAATTCTTGTTAACAATGCCTGAAAGATTCAAGACTATAATCACCACCTTAGAGAATACTAAATACTTATCCAAAATCACATTAGTGAAACTCTTAAATGACTTATAAAAATATGTTTTTAAAACTGCTATTAGTTATTTTCTGTTATTTCAATTTATTAAATTAGTATCATAGTCAATAAATTATTTCAATATTTTAGAAATAATTTAATTTATTATCAAATCTTTCAGTTATATAATTAATTTAAATTTCTTTAACTTATTATAAATGCATTGTTACTACTAAATAAAAGTTAAGTTCTTTCTCCATTTATCTTTTTTCACAATTTTTCTTATTTTCTTTTCTTTATTTTATTTTACTTGTTTACCATAAAACCAACAGTTTTTCAAATAATCAGTTCTTTATTTTTTCTTATTAAACCAAGGAATTTTGTTTTACTTTATTTTATTTGTTTTTCTTTCCTCGTTTACTGTTTTTCATATGATTCACTTATTTATTTTTTGAAAGTGGGCAGCTAGCCGGTAAGAGCTTAAAGAATCAGGCTTTTGATATTCAAACCCGGAAAATGGATCCTCTGCCGTTTTGTTACAACTGAATGAAGTCTTTACCATGAAAAATGTTATTATATGAATACAATAAGATATTAATAAAAAGTACATGTTAAACAACTTCAGGCCCATTGGAGTTGAATGGAGAATCGCAGCTCTCTGCAGTAACCGGCAAAGATCCAAACCTCAATAAAACTCTTCGACGTTTGAAAAACTTCAATCCCATTATCCAAGAATTACAGCAAATAAAGGAGAAAAAAAAGAAAAAGAAAAAGAAAAAGAAAAAGGAATCTACTCATTTCCATCAGAGTCGTTATCAAATATGTACAAGTATGGAATCACAGTCGTGCGATCAATCAAGTCACTTTGAGAAACCTCTGTGTTGACCCCAGGTGAGCTCCAACCTAATCGTTGTATGTATACACCATCATAAGCTTCAATGTTCAATCCTGAAGCAAGAAATAGTTGAATCTCATACACAAATCTGTCTGTTCTTGCTCCCAGAAAACGCCTTGCTGCTTCGGAGACTGACATCTTGAACTCCTCCTGTTTCTTTTCAGGCGCATCTGCGTGTGCCTTCTGTCCTCTTCTGGAAGTTTGAGAATTAACAGTGACCACTATTTTTCCATCTTCAAATAATGTTAAATCAACTTAAATGCATGAAAAAAATTACCTTGTCCATAATGCTTTGACTACACCAAGGATATGGTGCACAATGATGTCAACATCTTCCTCCTACAGATTAAACAAGAGGTATGAGTGAAAAATATGCAGTGCTAATGAAGGAAAACAACTAAGCTATTACAATAGCATGTGGCAACCCCCTCCCCTTTTTTACCCCCTCATCAAACAAAAATTAATTGAGAGAGAAAGAGAAAGAAGAATCAGAAATTTCATCTACAATTAGGCACATGCATAATGCAGTAGTAGAAAAGACAACGCAACAAAATGTGAATGCATGCTATATTACAGGATATTTTTCATGTTGCCAGATAAAATTAGAGAGGAAGAAAATAATTTGGTTTACACTGACCTGAGAGAGAATTCACAATTAAAACATTAATATGACAAATTCACTAACCTGAATAAGAGCTTGAATTTCCCTTGTTAACCAAGTTTGAAGCCAGCAATTTGGTTGACAAAACTTACGAAATTTCCAATATTGTGATATATTGAATATGTCATCTAGGAAACCTGCTCAGACAGGGTTAAACGTAAGACAAACATTGACAAAACATATCTGACACTAATGGAAGGACAGACACACACCCCTATTGATCAAGAAATTAGTTAAACGAAAGGCGGTAGAAGACCTTGCTCAGTGTAATAGCATTGTAACCTATATCTGTGCGCTTTTGACAAGATAAAACTGCACACACAAATAGAAGAGCACAGTATATAAAGATAATTCTACCAAAACTTTTATCTTGAACAAAACTGACAAACAAACCTATCCTCCAAATCCTTATTTACATAGTGTCGTTGAATACAACTTCCTTCAACTCCAAATATGATAGAAAAATTTTCCGTCTGCATATAATACATGAATTGCAAAATCAGCATTTCATTTTATCCAGCTTGATACTAACTTCACTAACATTCCCCAATTGATTTATCATAACCGCCCTAACTGTTTTGCAATTTTAGAGGTCCATAATAAACATTCAGGGTGCAGTAAATTTATAGCACTTAAAGTTAAAATTCATAGTCCTATATAAAAATTATTTTAATAGATTAAGGGACAAGGTTGAAAGGTATTAAGCAAACCTTACAGAGGGGGCATTTTACAGAAGAAGGTGCAGAACGGTGCTTAGCAGCAACCACCTTGGTCCAACGTAAAATGCAATTGAAGCAAAACTTATCTGCAACACAATAATAAATCATGAATCAAACTATTCCCAAATTCATCCAACAAATTGTAAGTTACCATGAATCATATCGCAACAGAACAGAGAGATAGTTATTTAGAAGAAGAATTAAAGGGAATTGGGTGAGGGCATACGAAGACATTTGTCGAGGTAAGAAATTTGAAGCAACGATCCCAAGCAGATTGGGCAACGCCCATTTGAATCCTCTGACTCAAAGGAAACATGCTTGCTTAGCTTAATCGCTGCGTCTTCCTCCATCCTTTCCTGCACCTCGCTCCAAACCCTATTTTCCTAATTACAATCTTCTTTGGCTCCTTTTCGCAAACTTTTCAATCATTCCTTAAATCTTCCAATGTCAAATTTCTAGTTATTAAGAATAATTTTATATTTTTACAGTTTATTTATACAAATTAAATAAGATAAAAATATGTTTTTTAATGCTTTTGCTTAATATGTTTAAATATAAAATATTTTATTATATTAATAATTAATTGTCATATAATTGATTTTTAAATGTTTATTAAATTATTTTACGTGATTTTATATTTGGTTCCCATTATCCGTTAGAAATTGTACATGAGACAAGAAGGTAAAGTAGAAAGAGATGGAACTATTCAAGGCGTGAAAACTTGGTTGACAAGTACATTCGTAAGTAAGTTTTGGAGAATATATGGATAGAATATTTCGGTTTTTAAAATTTTATAAATTATTTATTAATTTTGAATTTTATAAAAAAAGTTTTACTTTATGTTGTTTATTTTATTATTTTATATTAAAAAGTACAAAATAATATTGTACAATAAATTATTTTAAGATATAACATGAAATGAATTAACATAAAATTTAAAATTTAGAATAAAAACATATTTTATATATTGATATATTATGTATTATAAATATAATAGAACATTATTATTAATTTAATCATTTTCACTTGTTTTTTAGTTCAAAAAGTTATATATTTCAACATGATACATGTTGGACATCCACACGGCAAGCATTTAAAAATTGTTGGTAATTCGGAACTAGAGATACGAAAAATCAGACTTTAGCATTAATACTTGGTGTGGTAAAGTAATTTTAAAAAAGATCAAATTTAATGTGATAAAATATATAATTATTTATTTATATGGGTTGATAAATGATTTATTATACTAAATATTGCATAACTTTGCTGCAAAAAAGAGTTGAGTGATGTTGAAGTAGTTTCACAGAAAGAGGACAAGCTAAATAAATCATAATAATTATTAAATTTAAATATGTTTTTAATTTTTCTAAATATAATGTTTTTAGTCTTCTTTTTTCTAACTAACGCAATAAAAAATTAACAGATACCAATATCTTAATCACATCATCACCCAAGATTAAAATAATAAAATTTGAAAATTAGATATTAAAATTATAAAAAAAAACTCATTTTAAAAACTAAGACTAAAATTTTAGAAAATATAAAAGACTAAAAGTATATTTGAGCGGTCCTCCTGTTGGAGTCTTCTGACATTTTACACAATGAGTTCTCTTTCAACGAATGCATCCCATGAGTTGCTTTTGGAGCTTTATTTTGCAGCTATTTAGTTCCAAGAGCTGCGACTTGATAATTTCAACATCATTTCTCATCATCTTTATCTCATGGACATTTATCTGTCTTTTTTCAAAATCTTTGTTTACTCTGATAATTGTTTGAGTATTTGTTCTTTGGTAGTTTGATCCATTACTTGACATTGATCTAGCCACGTTCACTTGCTCCAAAAGGACAAATTCTGTCACTAATTTAAAGGGCAACCTATCATTTTTCATCACATGTTGCCGTGCTTCTTGTGACAATCTATGATATTCCAGTACTCTACACACATCCATGCGATCTTCTTCTGTCAAATCTGGATGTGCCTGCAAAATTGGGTTAAATCCCAGTGTTATGCATGATAAAAGGGACCTTAGTGTTCAACTAATTAAAGTCAATTAAATATCCACATTTCTACATAGATATATAGAATAGATCTTGAGCTAGTAATTTAGAAATATGACATAACATCAATATTATTACCTTAAGGTACATGTCAATAGCTCTATAGAGGTTGTCATCACAGTATCTGGCATGTTGTGGCAATGCTTGAACAAGTGCTTTGAAATTTTCCACTGGGAGATTCTCATCCCTTGCAACTTGTGTGAGATACCCATCTACTAACTTTCCAACTGCGTGGAGTTTTGCTGAAGAATTGCTTGACATGCCACATACAGAAAACCGTAACACCCTAAGCACAACAGTTACATCATACAAAGAATCACTATGTCCTTGATTTTTAACCAAGAGATCTTGAACCCTGCATTTCTCCAACATTAAAGCTACTCTCCTTTCTAGCGCACACAACAATTCAGAATTTATTTTCAGCATCACCCCTGCTTTTATTAGGTGAAGCAAAAAAGTGCAAGTGACTGAATTTTCTTCACCAGGAAGTATCCTAATCAAACATTCAATGGAAACTCTATGTAATTGGAGAGTTATTTGTTTAGTAGCCACCTTGTCAATTCCAAGCTTGACATGGGAAAACCATTTTCTTGTCCAATGTTCAATACAAGAACCTACAATTTCCTGTTTGATGCTATGCTTTTTAATAGATTGGATCACTTCAATAAAATGATCTATGCGTAAAAGTGACACATCTTGGAACCACCAAGTATCAGCCATGTTTTTAATTCCTAAGTTATTTGTATTTCCTTGATTTGCTTGCACATTCAAGTGTCTTCGATTTTCACATTCACAACTAAAACTAGATGATGCATTTGGAATTGCGCATGCCTTCCAAGCTATTGCTTCTGAGCAGCGTTTCATTATTTGCAAGTCCTTGGCCCAAGGGGAAATGGATTCACAACTTTTGAGTATTCGAAATGTGTCTTTCCATGAAGATAATATTAGAAAGTTGAGAAAAGCTTCTGTCTTGGAAATGAGGTTCCCTTCTTCAAGATCTTCACTCATTTCCAAGAAATGTGCAGCGCAATATAATGGGATAATGTTGGTTGGGGTTATATCAATTTTCCAACCATAACAGAATTTGACTACTAATGCAAATGTTTTTGTCCCACCTGGAAGGTTTTTTATTTCGATGTTGAGGCTGTCCCTGCCACTCTCTCTGTGGCTTCCTCTCTCAAAGACAAGTCTATTCAAATATTCACTTCTTGAGACCATGGCAAGCTGAAAATCAATTAAATCATATGCAGTTAAAATTTTAAGAATATTAAATGTAAAAAATTATTTTAGCTCTTTTTAACCAAAACAACAGTAAAAAATGGTCAAAATAATTTTTTATAAAGTTAAAAATTGTGGAGAATTTTTTAACTTCTAAAAACTAAAATGTCCAACCTATATAATTTCATGAAACAATTTAAAAGTAGTCTGTTAGAGTTAATTTTGAACATACAAAAGCAGTCAATTTTTATTTAAAAAATAAAATATTTTATATTTTTATGCAATAAATACTTATTTTTTAATAAATATTTAATATTTTTAAATAATTAATTTTAACCTTAAGTATTGATATTTACATTTTTAAAAAAATTTTACTCGTTAATTATTAATAGTGTGTTTGCATAATAACTTAATTGAGTACATTTATTCATTTCATTTTTTTCAAAATGACGTGTACAGTAAATTTAATTACAAAATTTAATAGAATAAGTTACAAACAACTTATTTTAATAAATTATATAAAAAAAGAGCCTCCAAAAGTCCTAACTTAATGTCATAAGTGATTTATTATATCTTTCAAATAGGTCCTATTACATGAAAAATTACATGCATTTTTCCATAGAATTAAGGAGGGGTTGGTCCACCTTGTGCAAGTGAAAGCTTGAATCACCAACTTGTATGATTAAATCAGTAGGGGAATTTGCTCTAGCAATCCTGCAGCGATCAAATCAAGTAAATGGGAAAAATTACCACATGCATAATCAGCATACTCCAAGAACTAATGAGCATATATATATGAACGTGTTTGGGAGATGTTTACCAGTTTTGTTTTCTTCGTTCTAAGGAATGAGCAAGAATAGGAACACTGGCCGGTAGAAGGACACAATGGTTACAGTTCCCCCCATATACTACTGTCCCACCCAAGGCACTTTCAGGGTCAACACTCTTACTTCCCATGGTGGAGAATCTAGACATAAATTGAAGAGCTTCAGTATAGATTATGGAGAATATATAGACAGAAAGTGTGTACATGCCCTACTTTTAGATAAGAGTAGATGGTGTCGTGTCATTCTTAATTAATGGGATCAACGCTGTGTTTATGACATTGAAGAGGGTTTGTTGACTTTTGCCTTCTTCTGTCACTGTAACATTTGGATTATTGGAGAGTACACAAATAGGTGTTAATCTCATCCACTTGTTGAGAAATATAAAACCACCGTTCTTCATCCACGTCGCCCTCATCATTAAGAAGGCAACTTCAGGTTGTATTAAATGAATAACGCATCCCAACCTTACTAACCAAAACTGATTATAGCCTCATGATTGTGTGGTCAGCAAACTTGTTCTTGCAACTTATCACTCCCTTTTTTCTTTCCCCATCATTATTTGCTAAATGCTAAAGTGAGTTTTGGCTAAGAAGAAAACAACAATTAAATGAACGAAAAAACTTAAAGGGCTATTTTGTGGATATATATGATATATATATATATATATATATATATATATATATATATATATATATGTGTGTGTGTGTGTGTGTGAAAAATGATTTTCTCACACCATTATAAATCTAAAAACTTTTACACTCAATCTGTGCATTTTATTTATCCTACATCTAATAGTCAGTAAGTAATAAATTATACTCCCTTCATTCCTTTTTATTTGTCTTTTTTTATCTATTTCATTAGGATTCCAAGAATATATTTATTATTATTATTTTCTTCTATACCCTTACCCTTTACATAAATGAAATGACTAATTAACTTGTGCAAATTCCAAAAATTAAAGGAAAGTCTTGGTAATATACTCTATTTCTCAATTCTTATAGATTTAATTCTCAGATTACTCATTGAGCCTTGCATCATGAGTATAACTACAAGCAAAGAAAAAATAGAAAGAACAAAAGTCTTGGTAATATACTCTATTTTTCAATTCTCATAGATTTAATTCTCAGATTACTCATCGAGCCTTGCATCATGAGTATAACTACAAGCAAAGAAAAAATAGAAAGAACAAAAGACACTTGCATATTTCTACTCTAAGGCTCGATGAATTACAATAAGCATGAAGACTATGTAGAAATTGTTGAAGACTCCATAGATGATTGTAACATTGAAGACTATGTTGAAATTGTTAAAGACTCTATGGATGACAGTAAAGATGAAAACTTTATAGAAACTGTTGAAGACTCCATAGATGATTCTAACATTAAAAAGAATGTAGAAATTGCTCAAGACTCCATGGATGAAACTAAAGATGAAAATTCTATAAAAATTGTTAAAGGCTCCATAGATGACACTCATGTAAAAGACTCCGTAGAAATTATTGAAAACTTCATGGATAACTAAGAGAACATGTGCAAATTGTTCAAGACTCATATGAAAGCACATATGACACTTTAATTGGAGACTCTTAAGACATGGTTCAAGGTTTAAGGTGTGTGATCCTAGAAGGTGATGAAGACAACAAAGTTGAAGCTAATGAAAGAAAAAAAAAAGGCTTATATGGAAAGAAAATTCGAAGAAGTGGTTGCAACAATGCTGAAAATTTATCTTAGGAGGTTTGCCTCAGAAGCACTGAAGTATTTAAAAGGATAGGATTTCGTACATAGTGACATTTTCTCTTTGTTGCGTATTGTAGGTGTTATGATTTTATCATCTTATATGTTTTTATTTTGTTATTTCTACCTTTAGTTGTTGATGTAACATTTTTTTTAAGTTTATATTTATAGTTTTATTTTGATTAATAAACACTTTTCATATGATTTATTTTTAGAGTTTTTATCATTTTCTAGTTATTTGAATAAATTGGGTTTGTTACAAATACATGTTTTAATTTTGTATTTTTTATTATTTTGACCTTTGACTACTCTTTTGGTCATAACTTTGTCTACAAATATCATCTTTTGTTGATTCTAGATGCATTGGATTTTACACATCTAGCGCTTCAAAATGCATACATGGATCACTGGATTTTAAGTTGTTTTCGATTTTTTATGACTTTTTAAAGTTGAGGTAGATTTGCTTAATATTGTTGCTGTACTAGATAGGGGAACTAATGGACCCTACATATAGAAAAAGGAAACCGAATACCCACTCGACTAGTCTGAATCAGTATCTCTAAGATTTAAAGATAACTTAATAATTAGAATTTTATTCAAATCATGAAAAGGGCCAAAAGTCAAGGTTGACTCAGGCCCATTAGCCCATTACAGTGCCTATAAAAGAAAGGTAAGAATAGCAGGTTGGGAGTTGACTTTTCATTATTGAATACCATTTATTACTCTGAGCCAAATCCCGACTTCAACATCGGAGTACCTTTTGTAGGTACCCTTCCCCGTCAGCAATTGTCAGAAGGACACTAGATCAGAGATTCGAAGACAGCTGTTTCTCTAGCAAGAAGGAACAGTTGTGGAATTGCATTTGGATCCTTGTTATTTAATAATTGTATTTGATCTTTTAGATATTATTGAGGCTTAAAATTTTACCACCTAATTTACCCTAATCAGAACCTATAATTAGACTAATAAGGTTCTGAATTAAGGTGGGAGATTAGACATTTTGAGCTTTTGAGATTTGATTGAAATAAGAATCCTTATTTTTACTTTTTCTTAAATTTTCTCATTCTCGCGTGGGTTAAGTGCTTCGATGGAAGGCTAAACTTCCTATTCAATCTGCAAAATCCAAATGTTGTAATTCTTGGTCGAATCGCTCTGAGTTTGTTCTCTTTTTTTTTCTAACCTTAGATTTATGTATTGCGATCGTGATTAACTTTTTTATTCTTAGAATTTGAACTAGGATTCAATTGATATTCTAATTTGATAATTAATTGAGGTTAGGTTAAACGATAATTTGATTTAATCCGTGATCTAGTTCAATTAGGTTATTCGATGAATTAATAATTGAATTGGGTAAACATTCAAACTCAGATTAAAATATTTAGATACTGTGATAATTTGAGTTACATGCATTTAGTATTTTGTGGATTGATATTTCTTCATTTGTCTTCTCCTAAATTTATTTTGTTCGTAGTTTAATTTATTATTTTGCAGATTTTAAAATCCCCAAAATTTTACTCGCGTTCTTTAAAAGAAAATCTAAAATTGAATTTAACTGAAAATGTGTCTATGTGAATCGATCTAGGTTTAGCTCTATACTACAAAATCATTAGAGAACTTGTTTTGATAGCAAGTTGGCATCATCTATCAGTTGTATTTTAGGTCTCATCGCTATTTGATTGTTATTTTCTCCTAGTTTAATGGGCTGTGTTTATTCTGTTACTGTGTTGTTACAATCTTCTTTTATCTTCTTGAGAAACAAATTAGTGATAAACAAATTTTTAAATGACCAAATTGATATACAATACTAGTTTTCTCTTAAAAAAAGAAAAAAGGCAAATTAAAATACAATTAGAAAATGATAATCAAGAATATTGATACACATGTCTAGAGCCGGCAAAATGGGATGGCCTGATGGATTGGGCCCAAAAAATCCGTTAAATGGGGGTTGAGCTCTAAAAAATAAGGCCCAAAATTACCTTGGACCATTTTGGCCCGATCCGAATAAGCCCGATACTTGATAGGGCTTTAACCGGGTTGGCCCATGCAAGTCCGGGCAGCCCTATATATATATTGAGATTAAACCCTGAGTTTTAAGGAGTTTGAAAGAGAATATATTTTAGTTTCAAATTTCTAAAATTACAAGTCTAAATTATATACTTTTGTATCGCTACAAAAACAATAAAAGAAAGAAACCACTGGCCTTTTACAACTTAAAAAAAGACAAATAAATAGTATAATACAAAAATTGGACATAAAAAATGAGTGGTCTATTAAGTTCTTGCAAAAATAGCTTAACATGATATGTTACAAACACTAAAAATAGCAATAAAAATAATGATTTGTTGTTATAAAAACAGTAAAAAAAATGACATGTTATAAAAATAAGAAAAAGAAAAAAAATATTTAAGTTGTCAGGCCAGCCCGTAGAAGCCCATAGCCCGCATAGGATAAGGCTTGGGCAGTAAAAATATAAGCCCATTTTTACCTTAGGCTAATTAAGCCTGACCCGTTTGAGCCCGCTACATGATCGGGCTGGGCAGGGTCGAGCCAGGCTGCTCGTTTTGACAGCTCTACACATGTGTACATGCGTTGTTTGCTGCAGCATATAGTGTTTAGTAATAGATGATGCATTGTGCCTTGACTGATGCATGTAGATTGTAGGGACATGTGTATTTGTTTATGACACATTTCTTTTTAAGTCTTGATTGCTGTCATTATTTTTTAAATTTGCTTATTTGATTCTTTCACCAATTGAACTTATCTAGTCTATAAAAACATGAAAAGAATATCATTAGTTATAGTGTATCTAGTCTAAATACTTAAAGATACTTGAACAAAACTAAAATTAAATAAAGAAGCAATAATTTTAATTAATGTAAACACTAAAATAGGAATGTGATCACAACCCAGTCATGATACGCGTAACCAAACATGAACATTTACATAATTCGAAACTTCAAGTGACATAAGCTTCATGTTGGACCACTGTTGAAGTAATTCATGACTTCTCGAACCAATTCAAGATCACACCTGAGTAGGTATCTCTTGTCTTTCTAGCCTTCTTTTCTTAAAATGTGAAATTTTATATTTATTAGAACCTTTAGCTTTCATAATCTCAATCATGCATAATTTCAATGTTAAAAATATATGGTTAGATTTCACTGTAGAAATTTTTTTGAAAGACTTCACAATTGCATCAACAAGTTCATCAATAAAAATATATGGTTAGATTCCTTGTACTATAATGATTGTATGACACTGAAAAGTTCAAAGTCCAAGACATTCAAGTCTGGAGAATTAGCAGGTTGAGACATCAAATGAATACTACTAAACCCATCTTGTGAAGCTCCTTTAAGAAACTCATCATCGTCATGACTAATGTGTTCTAGCATTATCTTGCTGAATAAAAATTGA